GTGATAACATCCGTAGACTGGGTTCCTGTGGATTAGTCTAGGAGAGTCCAAAGTTAGGATAAATTGGGGGTTTTGGATTATAATTCACAGATTGCCCCAGTGAACTTTAGTCCAAAAAGAGTAATTTTTTCCAAACTGGCAGAGTCTCAGCATCATAATGTTCAATTACTGTGGGTTTCTGGTGCCATTCCCATTCTCTGCATCACAGCTTTGTTAATGAAGACTGAATTCTGGAAAGAGAGAGAGAGAGCAAGTGTTATATCTGGAAAGGGTTAAAAGCAATTAATATTAAACATTAAAAGTATAACAAAAATATGTACACTCTCTTCATTGCATCAAACATTGTCAAAAATGCTACTCAAAATGGTGGCCATTTGGGGGTAGATTATGATACTGAAGTCATGCCCTGATTTGATGTCTCATCATTGATGCAAATATGATGGAGTTAGAAATTCTCGGCCACTTTGAAAAACCATGACTGGCATTCTGTTAGTAAGATACACATGCATAAACCATGCTATGCATGTATGGTGAATTACTTGCCATAGCTCAACAGATGTATTTTTTTCTGATAGGAACAGAAGCAGAGTTGCGCATACAACAAGATTGTGCATTGTGGTTATATGCTGAGTATTGGATGTGCGCATTGTACAATAGCACCCAGTCATTGACATGTGTTGTGCAGTGTTGCTATTCCATCTGGGGGTTGTGTAGTGCTGGTTCAGCATATCTCCACATGCTGAAGGGATGTTGGGTTTCAATGCATGAGATCTACCTGTGCAAAAAGCAACAGCTGTGTGTAGGAAACCAACAATAAATACAACCCAATCTTCCCTGTAAACTCTTGGTTGATCTACCACTAACTGCAATATGGTATTGGACTATTCAAGTACATAACAGAATCAAATGTTAAGGCTGTCTCTGCATTCAATGCTGTCTGATTTTCATATATTTTCAGAAAATCCATAACACATCATTTTGATGTGTAAGCATTTTTTTAAATATAGCCAAAATTCTACGTTGGTTACTTAGCTACAACTGTGTAAGTAAGTCACATCTCCTGGTCTGACCACCTTCCTTAGCCCACCTTAAGAGTGAGCCAGATTGGGCAAATGAAGTATGTTATGTTTCCATCAGACCACAAGGAAGATGACAGTGAGTGAGACTGTTACAAGGGCTTGCAATTGGGGTCCTGCTTCTGATTATCACCGCCTTGCTTGCTGAAGAGTGATACCACCCTCCTTTTATCCTGATTAGAATCTGGAAGAATGTCCTTCGCCCAATCTTAATTGGCATTTACATAATGTGATGCTAAAACTATGTTTATTGCTGTTGTTGTGTGCCTTCAAGTAATTTCCAAGTTATGGCAACCTTAAGGTGAATTTATCACAGGGTTTTCCTGGCAAGATTTGTTCAGAACCTGAGGCTGAGAGAGTGTGATTCACCCAAGGACGCTTAGTGGGTTTTTCATGGCCAAGTGGGGGATTGAACCCTGGTCTCCAGAGTCATAGTCCAACTCTCAAACCACTACACCACACTGGCAAAGTAGCGTTAGTGAATCTGGAGCATTATGGATTAATAATTCTGGGTTAGAAATCCGTAATTTCAATACTGAATGCCTGTCACCATTACCAGGGGCATCACATTTCCCCCACTACAGTCTCTAATCACAACCTAAATCTCCTCCTGGGTTGTTCCAAAAATTCTCCACATAGGAATCCAGATGATCAGGAGACAAGTTTCATCAGGTCTTTGGACAGTCATGATGTGAGGTCTGGTGGTTCCAGTGCCATTTTGGCCACCAATGCTCTTTGGATTTTCATCCAAATGTCCAAAAAAAAACCCTATCCAAGGCACTGGGCTTATTATGGGGGACAGGGTAAAGTGGTACAGCCTCAAGATACAAGTTTACCATCTTAATGGGGATGCAGCTTGTCTTTGGGTCAGCTCTCATGACCAGCTGAGCCATGGACAAGCTGTTTTCACTTGGCTGTCTCTATGCTGTTCTAGTAATTTGCAAAAGATAAACTCATGTGTTTCCTTCCCAAGCTGCCTGAGGGCATTCTAGGAAGAAGAGACTCCAAAAGTAACTTTCCCAAGCTCTGTTTCTTCCCACGAACATAGCAGGTCACTTGCCCATACAATACAAAATTGTTGATTTGGATTTGACCAACATCAGGCTTTGACTTTAGACGTTGGGATACCAGAAGTATTTGCTTTCACGCTGAACAATGACAGCACTTTGATACCACTTCAGCTATCTTGGCTGCATCCTACAGAATCCTGGGATTCATAGTTTGCCAGAGAGTTTTCGGTATCCCAGTATTGCTATAATTGTGCAATGTGGAAGAGGCCACATTGCCCTTGTGTACACATTGACTGGTCTAAATCATACCCCTCCAGAGGCCATTAAAAAAGAAACAGGCCACCTCTTGTCTTCTTTTCTGCACTAACATCTGGTGATCCAATACCTCACACTACACATTCTCCAAGTGTGTGCTTCTCCATTTCCCCTCCCACCCCTTCATGGACAAAAAAATTAGGCAGATGATAAGTAAAGGTATTAAAAGTAATATTAAGAATTGCCAAAACTGACATACATGGGTGTCAAGTTAATTTAAGTGTAGATAAGCAGGTAAACACATGTGTGGCAGAGAAACGTCCTTTGCCACAATATCTGTGGCTGGCATCCTGTCAGCAACATACACAGGCATTAGTATCACTAAGCATTCTGACTCATTTTTTGGACAATGCATAATGGCCATATTCAGCTGACAACAGTGTTCTGCTGTTGCACCTGTGCACCTGTAACACATTAAAGTACACAGAATAACATATGAATATGGGCTGCCTCCATGCTTTGCCATTGCACATTGCAACTGCACAAGAGGGAGATTTTCACACGGGCAAAAGTGACAGGAGCATCCCACTATGCTCCCATCACTTTTGCCCGTCTGAAAATCTCCTTCACCGTCAGGGATTTCCATTGACCATTAATCCACATACGTTGTGCTACGTTGGTAATCAGGATAGAGGTTGTGTAATATAACCCTGCAGCAATGTAAAATCTTGGCTTAAAAGTGAAAACATTAATCCCACTGCAGTCCCCACATTCAGATATCAATGCAGCTACCAAATATTATAACACAAAAACAGGCGGTTCTGGAATTAGAAAACAAGACGAGCCAAAATTCTTCACTTCATCAAGATCTGTCTTTATCGCCCATCTATGTCCTTTGAACAACTCTTTCCGAGACCACCTTAAGATTTGAACTTATCGTATCATCATGCTAGCAAGTTTTGCATTTCTATTACATTTCACATCCTCCTCATTCACGTACGTTTGTGTGTATGCGTGTGTGTAAATCTTTAGTTTGCCGAGTTGGGCAGTGTGACTTCGGAGTCATGTGTGGCTCCCAAACACGGTCTTTTGGGGGCAGTGAAGTTATGCTCAGCCTCTCCAAATTCCCTGCTGAGTGGTAGCAGCACCACATACCCCTTCCATAGCAGAGGTGGCCTGATTTTGGTCAGGCCTCACCTGGAAT